TACAGGCCAGAGATGCGGAGGGTGAGAGGATTCACCAGAGACAGAGTAGGGAGCAGAACAGGCAGATCGACGAAGTACACTGCTGAGGGGAGCAGCAGGCGGGCAGGAGAGGTCTGCCGCGCCATGTGGTCACCTCCGGGGCGGGCGGGGATCGAACTCATGCGGAAGCGGCTTAAGCTTTAACCTGTGCTGTGCTTTAACCTGCTGCGCCACCAGGGAGGGCCGTAAAATACAAGACTTTATATAGACAAACTGGGAGCTTGCAGGTTGTACGAGAGTGGACTCGGTGCCCCTGGGCTCAGCCTGTCTGCCGCTGTCAAACTTGCTCACTTGCTGTCTTTCCTACATTTGTTCCTTGCACTTTCTCTCAGAAAAGCAATGCAGAAGGGGTGAGTATGCGCGTGCACTGGCACTGGGGGGTCCCTCACTTCACCCTTTGTGTCTCCCTCACCTTCAGGAGGAGTCTGAGCCTGGGGTAGTTCCTGTTTTAGAGATCAGGACGGTGAGGCTACGACGAGGCGGCCCCTTTCCAAGCTAGCGAGCCCCCTTGACACACCCTGAGCCAGCCAGTGCCACCAGCCTGGCTTTCTCTGTCGAAGACCTACTGCTTTGCACTTTGAGCTCTGGTGATGTCAAGTGGCCCGAGTGGTCCTCTGAGTTAGGGAAGAGGCTCCCAGAGGTCGGTGACTCGCCCAGAGGCAGCGCCTAGATGCTTTCAGGTTTACGGACCTCCCGCAGTGGAAATCCACCGGGGAAGAGGAAGTCCAGGATTTTGTTGCTCTTAGAACTTACTGTCCAGCCAGGACTGAGCCTGGGGTTCTGGCTGTGGCATGCTTTGAGAAGTGCCTAGTAAAGTTCTGGGAGGGAAGCCCAGGCTTTTCCTCCGCTCTGGAACGAGGCGTTTTGGAATAGCCTGTTGTCTGCGTAGGTGTAGCTGTTGCTGATCGTGGGGCCGCCCCCTGCTCCGCTGCTCCTGCTTTGTCATGCGGCTTCGCAATCAATATTTCCTGCTCCAGATCTCACTACTGTCTGTATCTGTAAGACGTAATTATCATTAAAATATGCTACTCATTATGACTGTTTAATTTGCAAGCTGCTCTCTGATTCTGCATTATTCCAGGTGATATTTGTAAGAACTATCACATACAAGGCAGTTTTTGAAAATGAAGAGATGTGTGTGAAATTGGCTATGCATAAAAAGTCATGAATCGATGGTTCCATTTTCATTTCGACTTGTGAACAGCAGTCTTTTATGATTGGAAGTTTCTCATTTCACACTACAGGGACATGTTGTATATTTCCTCAAATACATAAACTCACCATCAGACTTTTTTTAGAACAGAAAATAGCATATTTTTTAAGAAACATGTCAAAGCTTAGTTTGGTATCAGCTACCTCTAACACTTGTTCATTTAAGAATCTAAAGAGTGGGTAAATTTAATGTCTAAACCCCAGCCACCAGCCCCTGGAGGCCGTCGGCACATCCATCATATGGGGCGCTGGGGCCCTTAACCAGGAAGGGTGTTGGGAAGGGCTGGTCACCCTCCAGCGACTGTGATGGACCCTCCTGATGCCGAAAGCCCACTCTCTTGGTATTGGGGGTGAGGATGGATTCTTGGTCCCCTCCGCTTTCTAATCAGGATTCTGACCTGCAGCCTCATAAGGCTTCGCGAGTGGGGCAGGGCTCTGACGCGTGCGTGAGTGAGTGTGGCGTTGCAGAGGAGCAGTGAGAGCAGTTCTTTCTTTCACTCAGCGAGCAGTTGGCTGGACATTTCTACGTCTTAGGTTTCAATGTGTGGTTTGTGGGGGGGAAGGGTTGTTTTTTAAAGATTTGTGCATACAACATCTGCGGTGTAGGCCAGAGGTGTGGGAAGTGAGAGGGGTCACCAGAGACAGAGTGGGGAGCCGACTAGGCAGAGCCACTGAAACACCCTGCCAACGGGAGCAGTGGGTAGACAGGCGAGGTCTGCTGCGCCGTGTGGGTCACTCCCTGGCCGGGGGTAGAACTGGTGCTGCAGTGGCTGCGCAGAGCTTCATAATGCTGCGCTTTACCCACTGTGCCACCAGGGAGGCCTAATGTGCAGATCTGGCAGCAAATTTATTTTCCTTTTTGGTATGTTTCAGTTGTGGGCACTCTCCCCCAGAGAACCAGTAGATACTTTCCACCATGGAAAGCTTAACACATGAGAGCCTCCCTGGTGGTGCAGGGGGCTGTCTCAGCACTGTGAAGCTGTCCACAGCCACTGCAGCATGAGTTTGCTCCCCAGCCAGAGAGCTGACCCACATGGCACAGCAGACCTCTCCTGTCTCCCCACTGTTCCCCTCAGCAGTGTGTTTCAGTGATTCTTCCTGTTCTGCTCCCCATTCTGTCTCTGGTGAATGTTCTCATTCCCCTCACTTCTGGCCTACATCCCAGTTCTTGTTTACATAAATCAATAACAAAACAGACCTTAAAAAAACAAAAACAACAACAAAAAAAAACTTGACACGTTATTAGTTGAAAAAAACAAGATATAATAACACGCACTGAAATGGTTTGTGTTCATAAATGATATTTAAGAACATTTAGAAGAATGCAAAGGTATTCACATTGGATCATTCTTCATTCCCACTTTTGCCCTCCGTCATCTGAAAAGTGAGAAAAGATTTGTAACTGTCATGGTAAAGTAAGTTCTCATAGACTTATATTGAGAAGTCACCCTCCCCCCACTTCTCTGCTGAGTAACTGTGATTTGTGTAACAACCACACACCCCCTTCTCTGCTGAGTAACTGGGCTGTGTAGCACCGGGTGCCGGCGTGCTGAAACGCCTGGACTCGGCGGGGCCGAGTCCCTAGCAGTCCAGTGCTGACCCCACACCTCCAGCACCAGAGTGGCCTGGGGCCGAGTCCCTAGCAGTCCAGTGCTGACCCCACACCTCCAGCACCAGAGTGGCCTGGGGTGTGCTCCAGCTGTGGAGTCTGGAGGAGAAAGATAAAGCCCACAAGACCCAGCAGCTGCACCGTCACTTTACAGCCAAGTGCTCAGTTTCTAGAAGGCACCGGTGTTTAAGAGAGAAAAACACTTGTCTCTGGACTGTTTGATATAATTCAAGTTGGTGATTTGATTTGGAAACCAAATGCTAGAGCATCAAGAACAAGTTGTTTTTGTTTTTGTTTTTGTTTTTTTAGTTTATTTACATACTTGGCTGACTGTGTGCACTAGTATATCTTGTTTGAAGAATCTGCTGCCTTTTCCCTGTTTTGTTTACTTGTATGGTGTTTTGGTCATTTAAACATAGCCTGCTATCTGCGCGATTAGCAAGACAGTTGTAACTGCCTCAGATTTCCACTCAGCAGCAAGGCGCTTTAGGGCCAATAGGCTTGAAGGTGCACTTCCCCTCAGCTCACGGGCACAGCAGGAATCGAGGGCCAGGAGGTGCTGGAAGGGTCAGCTTTCAGGTCTTGAACACTTCTTTCCTGCTCTTCTCTTGACCCACCTGTCTTGGGGGCCGGAAGCAGGCCAGACTGCTCACAGCAGCTGCTGGGCAGCTTGTCTGCCCTGAACATTTAATGGGAGGGTGAGTGTTGCTCTCCAAGGCCAGCCCCTGACCCAGGACCTGGCCTTCGAGCTTCAGCCTTGCCTTGCTTTTTGGCACAGTCACTGTGAGCTCTGTGCTCGTGGCCGGCCGCGGCCCACTGGGGAGGGGGGTGGGGCCATCTTGCCCCTGGAAAGGGGTTGTTCTCTGGGTAAAACGGTTGAAGATAAAAACCAGCAGCTCATCCTCAGAGCAGGAGTCACTGGTGGCCATCAGCAGCCCAGACAGGCACGAAGGGCGTGGGGGTGGGGTGAGTAGGCGCAATGTGGCCTTGTGAAGCAGTCCATTTGAGCAGTCCATTTGGAAACGGATGTTGAGGCATCCAGTCTCCTCGTTATGTTTGCTGGAAGCGTGTCTGGCGACCGCGTGGAAATGGCTCTGTATCTTCCATGACGTGGCCTTGGCCCAGTGCCGCGTGACTCTTTCAAGGAGAGAGCCTCCTGCCTCAAGGCTGGAAGCGGCCTGAGAGGCTGAGCAGCTAGCCTGGGGCCTCCCGGTCTGAGTGGAGTAGTTCTGGGGCTCCAAACTCATGCTCTTTGTAGCAAACACATTCTTGGCCCCACGAATGGGGTGAGGAGCGACCTTTTTTCTGCGAGGAGGGGCTAAACAAATGCACCTTGCCGTGAGAGTCCAGTAACACTCAGTCCTCTGTCCCCACAGGCATCAAGGACTACTCCAACTGGCCCACCATCCCGCAGGTGTTCCTCAACGGCGAGTTCGTGGGGGGCTGTGACATCCTCCTGCAGATGCACCAGAACGGGGACCTGGTGGAAGAACTGAAAAAGCTGGGGATCCACTCTGCCCTTCTAGATGAAAAGAAAGACCAAGACTCAAAGTGAGGGTGCCCGGGCCCCTGGAGCCGCCTGCTAAGCTGCAGGAGGGGCCCCGCAGGCCGCCCTGCCCAGGGCCCTGCCGCACCGACTGTCCGTTTGCCCTGGCTGGGTGATTTCCGTGTGTCTGGTGTTCAGCCTCAGAAGATTCCATTGCGGACTTTGCTACTGTAACCACTGCACTCTGGTGATCCAGTGTTGGGCCATGACGAGGCAAACTTGTCACTTGCTCTCGAGGCAAACTTGTCACTTGCTCTTTGCCTGATTCAGGAGTAAAACCAGGTACTTTGAGTCATTCGCCTCCGCGACTCCCCTGCTGTTGCGCAGTCTGCAAAGAAGGGCCCCCCTCGACCTCTCAAATATTTGTAACTTGTTTTTTCTGTTAAAAATCATAAACAAGGGAGAAAATGTAGCAACTGAGGTGTGTCTTTTAAAATAAAATGTCAACACAAGCAGCCGTGTGTGAGTTGTTCATTTCAAGCAGCGATCAATCTGTCTTCTGGTCAGCCCGCTGCAATAAATGCCATAGACTGGCCGCCTTGTAAACAGTGGCGATTTATGTCTCAGCCCTGGCGGCTGGACGTCCACGATCAAGGCGCCGTGTCCTCCGGGTCCTCGAGAGGCAGCCCTGTGGCGACCCTTTTGTGAGGAAGCCAAGCCTCATGACGTCATCCCCTCCTGCGGCCCTTGGGGCTGGCGGAGCACAGATGCCCAGCCTACAGCTGCGTGTGTGGTGCTGAGCTTCTGTTTTTAAGAAGTGATTCTCATACTCTTCCATTCAGTTTGTCACTAAGCTGCGTGCCGTTTCTCGAGAGCACAGCAGCACTGAATGCTGGGTGCTAGGCTAGAGGCCAGGAGGGGAGGCCAAAGGACACCCCATGTCCCGTCTGAGGACCTGCGCTGGGCCTACTCCCAATTTGGGGTCTGGTGAGTTTTTCATGTCTTCAAAAATAGGGCTCTCGTTAAAAAAACAAAAACAAAAACAGCTGGATGTGTGGCCAAGATTCTTGCAGTCTGTGGTCTCCTTGTAAGACCCAGAGCCTGCCACCTCGAGGCGTGGTCTGATGGAGCAGGAGGTTCCCAGAGACTTTGTTCCTCTCAGCATCTGTGTGAACAGCTTCTTGGCAGTGGCAGGGAATCAGCACTTTAATGGAGCGGGCGGAAATGGCATGGAGGAAGGCTTGTTCCCTCAGAGCCTCTCTGGCCTTGTTCTATGTTGGTTATTTAATCTACTTGAGTTACTCTGAAAGCCGTAGATAACATAGTAAAGACCAACATTAAAAATACCCAAAAAGGGCCCTCCCTGGTGGCGCAGCAGGTTAAAGCACAGCACTAAGAAGCTTAAGCCACTTCTGCATGAGTTTGATCCCCGCCTGCCCCGGAGGAGATCCACATGGTGCGGCAGACCTCTCCTGGCCCGCCCGCTGCTCCCTTCAGCAGCGTACTTCGTTGATCTGCCTGTTCTGCTCCCCACTCTGTCTCTGGTGAAGCCTTTTACTGCCCCCACACTTCTGGCATGTACCCCAGTTCTGTATGCATAAATAAATCTTAAAAAGAAAAAAGATGGTTCCCTCAGTGGTCTGGGGTTGTCTCAGTCCTAACCCAGTGACAGCCCTCCTGTGGCAAAGTGGCCTGCATTGGATTTCCAGCCAGGGAGTGACCCCCAGGGCACAGCAGGCCCTTCCTGTCTTCCCGCTGCTCCCCTCAGCAATGGATTTCAGTTCATCTGCCTGTTCTGCCCCTGTATCCTTGATCTGCACTCTCAGGTCTATGCAAAAAATAAAGGAAAAGATGAAAATTTTACAATAAAGGAGTAAGTTTTTATTGAGAATAATATATGAAAAGATTTAAAAGGTGACGGATCTGCTGGGGCATTTTGTTGCTGGCGGATCCTGCCCCGTCTCTCCCCAGGGGTTTGGGGTTCCCAAAGGAAACTGAAGCTGTGTCCCACCCCCACTTCCCTGGTAATCACAGAGCCCACAGGCTTCAGGAAACAGAAAAGCAGATTATTCTCGAAAAGGGTTTTCTGTTACATGAACACTTCACCGCATTAAGTCCTCCCACCTGCCTAAGCTGGGAGCACACGTGAGCCTCAGAGGAGCTAGCATTCCCCACCTGGATCTCGTTCTGCAGGTGAAAGCGAGGACCCTGGAGGGAGGCCGGTGCTGCTCCCCTCGGACCCAGCCAGGGTCGTGGCCTTGTCATTAGAAGGAATACCATTAGCCAAGAGCTTTGTACTGTCCCTGGGTGAGGACCAGGCCACAGGCCGCAGGCACCAGTCTGCAGCCCTGCCCTGCCCTTCAATGGGCGGGTGGTGACTTGGCTTCTCTTGAGACCTGCTGACAACACTTAGCGTCCCTCTGAAAAAGGAAGGGCCGAGAAACTTACTGGCAGGAAAATACCAGCAGGGATTGTCCCTGGGAGGGTGGCAAAGGAGAGAGCGGCCCAGTGGGCACTGGGCAGGTGCTTGTGAATCACTGGTCACATGCATGTCACCAGACAGCGTGAGTTTGAGGAATTGCCCTCTCTACCAGAAGTGGAAGCATTCTTTCCAGAAGTTCATTAGCATTTTTTCTACATGCTTAGCAAGTCTTCACCGAGTGGCAAATTAAAGATGCTACCTGATGACCACCTGAATAACTGGAGTGATGTGTACCATGGAAGTGTCCACTGATGGCTAAAGACATGTGTTCTAACAATATATGATACATATGGATGTACATATAGAGCTATAAGTGGAATATTATTCAGCCATAAACACGAGGAAAGCCCACTGTTTGTGACAACAGGGATGGCCCTTGAAGGCATCATGCTAAGTGAAATGAGTCAGATACTGTAGGATCTCACTTGTATATGGGATTAAAAAAGCCACACTCTCAGGATGAGATCAGATTTGTGGTTATCAGGTATGGGGAGGGGTCTGGAGGAAGGCGGTCAAAGGTACAAACTTGCAGTTGTTCGATGAACTCAGACCAGAGCTGTGTCCACAGGAGAGGACTGAACTTGCTGTGGTCATTCCCCCATCCTACTGTGAGCCTTGAACTTGGAACAGCAAAGTGGATTAATTTTCAATAAAACTGGAGAAAACAAAGGTGCAAGCCCAGAAAGACACACTTCTAAGTCCTTTCCCCACCCACCTGCAGCCAGTCTTTGAGCTGGGAATTCTCTCACCCTGTGGCCAGGCTCCCAGGAAAGAGCTCGGCCCCGCGGGAAGCAGGCTGAAGGCCGGGGCTGTGGAGCCTTGTTGACAGAGGTTTTGGGCAAACCGCCTCTGCTGTTTTTCCAGGTGACCTGAATTCAGCAGATTGTTTACCTTTGACGATTTTGCTCAAGCACTTACTGAGTTTATTTTAGCAGAGTTGGTCATTAGGTACTAGTTGAAAGCAGGATTGGGGCTGACGAACCCAAACTACTTAATTACGTGAATCCCAGTTTACATGGAACCACTGTGCATTTCCAAATACAAGTCACAAGTCCATGACACCCAGTGAGATGTTTCAAAACAGCTTGGGTGGCTTAGTCCTGCACGTTCATGAATGTATTGATAGCTGGAACAAATACAGGAACTCACACTGCCACTGCCTGAGTCTATTTTAACATTTGCTCAGAATTCCACGAACAACGCTGCCCAGCAGAGCCCTCTTGTCTCATATTAGCTGAGTATTTTTAAGATTTATTTATTTGTGCATACATGAGCTGGGGTACAGGCCAGAGATGTGGGGATGAAGGGGATTCACCAGAGGCAGAGCGGGGAGCAGAAAGGCAGATCTGAAATCCACTGCTGAGGGGAACAGTGGGGAGACAGGAGAAGTCTGCTACGCCCTGTGGGTCACTCCCCGGCTGGGGATTGAACTCATGCTGCAGTGGCTGCCAACGGATTCATAGTCCTGTGTCTTAACCCCTTGTACCACGAGGGAGGGCACTTTAGAAGTATTTCAATCAATCAGTCTGCTCTGTTAAAAACAAAAAAACAAAAAAACAGGGCCTCCGTGGTGGTGCAGGGGTTAAGTCTCAGCACTATGAAGCTATCTGTAGCCACTGCAGCACCAGTTTGATTCCAGGCCAGGGAGTGACCCACATGGTGCAGCAGACCTGTCTACCTTGCACCCCTCAGCAGTGTATTTCAGTCAATTTTCCTGTCCTGCTCTACACTATCTCTGGTGAATCCTCTCAGACTTCCACACACATCCCATCAATAAGGAGGACTCAGAGAAGGTAAGTGCCTTGCCCAGGGACACACAGCTAAAAAGTGAAAGAATCCGATGTAAACAAGCCCAGACAACAGCTGCAATCTTTATATATATATAAAGATTATTTATTCGTACAGAACTGGGCTACAAGGTGCCCCTTGGGGAGGTGCGCTTTGGTTCAGGCCTGCTGTTTCACTAGCAGGTGTTTGTCAGTAAACTTAGTGATATCTTTTTCACCTGCTGTGTATTGCAAATTTCTACCCTCAGAAGTACATTCAGGAAATAAATGCTTAAGAAATGAGGACATAGGGCCTCCCGGATGGCGCCAGGGGTCAAAGCACAGCACCCTGAAGCTCTCCACAGCTAGGAACAGCTGAGCACAAGTTCGATCCCCGGCTAGGGAGTGACCCACAGGGCGCAGCAGACCTCTCCTGTCACCCGCCCCTCCCTTCCGCAGTGGATTTCAGTCAGTCAGCCTGTTCTGCTCCCCACTCTGTCTCTGATGAGTCCTCTCACCCCTCCACACCACTGGTCTGTACCCCAGTTCTTGTATGCACAAATAAATAACTTAAAAAAAAAAAATGAGGACACAGCATGCCCTGGCTGCGTTTTCAGCATCCATGACCTCAGGGCCCTGATGAGTTTTCCTGAGCCATCTCTCGTTCACAGTGCAGGAGCCTCACCCGATTCTATTAAGCCGCCTCTTCCCTCCTGCATTTCTAACAAGCTTCCAGCCCAGGCTGAGGCTGCCCAGGGACCAGTTCTAGGAGCTAGTTCTAGGAACAGCTGCCTAATTTTCAGTTGTTGGACCAAGAGATGGAGCAGTTCTGAAATTACCTGCAGGGGAATTATAGTGAAAGCGCATAGGACACTGGCCCAGGTAGCTGCAGACAAGGTCTCTCCAGGCTAATGTGGTTTCCCCAGGAACCAGGTTCTTACTTAACTAAAGTAATCGAAGATATTCCTGGAAGGTGAAAATTTGGAATGAATCGGCTGTAAGAAATCTCTTCTTTTTCAAGAAATGACTTTGGGAAGAATCAATCTCCTCCATGCAGGTCTCTTGCTGATGAGCTCAGCGGGGTCTGGAGATTACCAGGCTGTCACCAGCCTCCACCCCAGCTCTTCCTCATGTTTAAAGGGTTCCTCCTC